CACGCTGAGCAAATCAAGACACCCAGTGTGACTTCACGGAGAGCACCGTCCGAGGCAACCTGGGTTAGATTCGTTCAGAAGTAGGTGTATCCAGGAATGGCTGGGTAGCTGTTCTTTTAAAAGTGCATTATTCCAACAGTATCAGAATCGCAGTGCACCTGCCTCTGTTTGCAAATCAGGCAGTTTCTTTGGTGAAGTGTAATTAGGGCATCTCTAACCTCACGAGGAGACTGTTCATGTGACAATTTTCATTGCTTCGCTTCTGGAGTCGTTGACTTGTGAATATATCCTGGAGAAGGAAGCCGTAACCCCCAATGAAGGGTTTTCTCTCCAGTCTGCCCTAACTCCCTCATGTAGCCAACTCACCCTGCATTCCCTGTCGTGTGGGTTTAAAAACACTTTTTACGGAATCCTTGCCCATAGGATAAAGTGAGAGAGCACGGGGTTTGGAAACAGACTGACTCAGGTGTACATGGCTACTCAAAAGACACAACTTATTAAATGCTAGTTGCTTCCTACCCACTGTATCTCACAACAAAAGTATCTGTCTTATGTTTTGAAATGGTTTCCTTCCCAAATTAACCAAGGCAGTCAGCAAAGATTCAGAGTACAAGATGCGATGAACTGAAAAACAAGTGTGCAGTTGGGAAAACAGGGCCAAGGGGAAAACAATGAAAGGAAAGTAAGACAGAACCCAGTGAGCTCAGGACAAACAGTGCCAGGTAATGGGCCTGGCCACATGCTTGAACAGGACACAGATTTGCCTCTAGAGCCCCGTGCAAGGACAGAAGGTGATCAGTGCCCGGAGGCGGTGCCCACGGATCAGACAGAGCTCTTCAGAGCTAACAGGCAAGGGGCTGGGGGCAGGATGGTTACCTCTTATGAAAAAGAAGACTCATTCTAACCCCAGGGGAGGGCAGGAAGGACATCAGGGAGATAGGCTGATGCTCCTGGAAACAGGATCTGGGGTCTAGTCTTTTGTTGTTGTTGTTAAGCCTCACTCGAGGATATGTTTTTCATTGATTTTTAGAGAAAGTGGAAGGGAGGGAGGGAGGGAGGGAAACATCCATGTGAGAGAGACACATCGATTGGTTGCCTCCTGCCTGCACCCCAACCGGGGCTGGGGATGGAACCTGCAGCCCAGATATGTGCCCTTGACCAGGAATCGAACCTNCCCCAACTGGGGCTCGGGATGGAACCTGCAGCCCAGATATGTGCCCTTGACCAGGAATCGAACCTGTGGTGCATGGGCCGATGCTCTAACCACTGAGCCACACCGGCCAGGGCTGGGGTCTAATCTTGTACAGAGACAAATGGGTAACTGAAGACCTGAGTCCTGCACCACAGGGCATGGCCACTATGACTCCAACTAGGAAAGTATTTGAAACACGTGTAACCAAACACCCACATTGGCCATAAAAAAGCTGTAATAGGGGTCAGAGAGCACGTGGCTTTGAACAATGTACGGTAGCTCCCTGGCAAATATCAAGGTAGGTGCAGATGTCTTGGCTTTCCAGTGGGGCTGTGAGAGCCAAGGCCGATCACAGACCTCAGGTGTCATAACGGGAAATGCCAAGCAAAGGCTTCATGAAGGAGAGGGAAGCGGTGGGTCTCCAGCTTTAGTGTGCAAGTCACCTGGAGGTTTATTGAAACACAATCACTGGGTCCCACAGGACTGTCTGATGGGGCGGGGCTGAGAATCTGCATTTCCAACAGGGTCCCAGGTGAAGCTCAGGTTGCTGGATCTGAGACCACACCCTAAGAACCAGAAGCGGAGCAAAACTTTAACTACAGATGTGGGGCTGGAGAGGGGGGATGCACATTATATTTAAAAATCTGAATGTCACTACCGACTAAAATCAAGTCCAAATCAGGGCAGTGTAAAGGGGCTCCGCTGAAGCTCCCCTGAGAAGCCTCCTCTCCCTACAGATTCCTGCCCTGCGAGTCCCTGGTGAGAACTTGGGTTTTAGAACAGGCCATCTAGGCCCTTCTTTCTGTTATTAAGTCAGGCCGGAGTTCATGATCAAAGCTTGCCCAGCTGCAGGCAATATACCGTGTCATCTGCACTAGGAAAAAGGCACCTTTCTACTGTCTATAGTATGGATGGCAATATCCAGTTTATCCAAAAATGGAATTAGACCATCAAGGTCATTCAACCCTGTAAATTTCTTGAGCACGAAGGGCCATTGCCATAGGCCTCACTGTCACTATAGTCCTGCCTTGAGAATTTTTTGCCATCAGCATTACCAGGGGGGCCATTTTGAGTTGGCACAAGTGGACTGCTGTCGTTAGAAGAGATGGCATAAGATAAAAGCCATAAGCCATCTCAGGCCACTCAGCATATTTCTGCACAAGGTGGAAGAGCATGGCTGGCCTACCTATGAGCTGCTCCTTATGTCAGCCACTGATGTGTTTTACCAAGGATGCTACTGAGGCTCAGAGAGGTTGAGCAACTTGGTCACACAGAGAGCAAGGGGCAAAGCCAGGGCTTCACCAAGTGTGCGTGCCTTGAAACTGAGCCTCAGTTCCTTCATTTGCAAGACAAAGAAAATAAAAGTACTCACTGGGTGGTTATAAAGATTAAAGATTATAGGAGATACCCTGTAGAGTGACTCTCATTAGCAGGGGTCCAGTCAGGGTCCAAACCCACCGATTTGCATGCATATTAGCGTAACTTTACTCTCCCCAGGATGTATCACTCTTAGACGAAGGACATCCCTGTGATCTTGAACCGGTCTCTCTCTCTAAATAATGCATGGCCACTGTGGAAAGCTTTGCGTCCACCACTATTCTGCACTCAATCTTCACCATAATAATACGATACAGATACGATTATCCCCACCTGACAGATGAGGAAACTGAGGGTAGAGTTTAAATTAGACAAGAAAGTGCTTTCTCTCCACTACACCATCATATAAACACAATGCAATCGCATTTAAACAAGTTCTGTTTTCTCCAGAATCAAAAGGTTGTTACTTGGGCACATAGTTAAGAAAAGACATGTC